TTGCTGTGTTAGCACTTTCCATGGTGATCCGTGGACAAGTCATTACACCAGCAAAGCAGTGAAGTAACAAACATACAGTTCAATGGAAAGCACTCTTTTCCTAGATTTTCCATACTTTCTAAACACTCATCCAGCTTCCTATAAACGTAAATCAGCCTTACACCTGCCACTTATTTGTGAGCATGTTTTGATTGCCTCCAGCTCAAAGGTTTGGTCATTGTACATTTGATTTACTTAACGGTCTCCTAACATCCTTGAGACCATTCTGAGAGTGTCATGGATTGAACTTGTCCCCACAAAATATCTATCAACTTGGCTGGGTCATGATTCCCAGTATTGTATGATTGTGTACCATTTTGTAATCTGATGTGATTTCCTTATGTGTTGTAAACTCTATCACTATGATGTAATAAGATGGATTAGCGGCAGTTACACAGATGAGGTCTACAAGATTAGATAGTGTCTTAAGCCAATCTCTTTTGAGATATAAAAGAGAGAAGCCAGCAGAGACACACGGGGAACTTCACACCACCAAGAAAGCAGTGCCTGGAGCAGAGCTCATCCTTTGGACCTGGGGTTCCTGACCTGAGATGCTCCCAGACCAAGGGAAGACCGATGCATCACAAGGACCTTCCTCCAGAGCTGACAGAGAGAGGGGGCCTTCTACTGGAGCTGATGCCCTGAATTTGGACTTGTAGCCTACTGGACTGTGAGAGAATAAACTTCTCTTGGTTAAAGCCATCCACTTGTGGTATTTCTGTTATAGCAGCACTAGATGACTAAGACAGAAAGATAAATGCTTTCGGGTAAAAGGATGCTCAAAGTGGGCCTTAGCACAAGCTCAGGACCACTTCTATATAGCCCTAAGAAATTTGACTATAAGATCTCAAAGTCTTTTTGATTGGGATGAAATTTGGAAGAAAGGACTTATCTCACTGAGATATTCTGATTCTGAAACTTACTAAAAATTTGGTCTTTTTAGGTTCTTGAGAGGTCATTTTGTTTTCTATGTCCCTAAGACCTAGAAGAATGCACAATAAATAGTAGATGCTCAACAAATCATTGGTGAATGAAAGAGTATGAAGGAAGATGGTAACTCTAAAGACATAGGTTGATTATTGGCAAAACTTTAATAAAAGAATACAGACATGCTTTCATTTGTCTAGTAGTCCTGTGCTTGATTAAAACAAGGATCAAGAAGTTTTAACCATATTTAAGCACTGGCTTTCTACTCTATCTCAGTGACTTACCTACCTAGTACTGTAAGAGGGACTTTAAAATCTCAAATGCACACACACACATATACTCCATACATGTGAGGTACTATCAGTGAATACATATGAAATATAAATTGATATTAAATCCCAGGAGATAGGAACAGAAACCTATTTTTGTAAGTTAGCATCAAATACTATCGTTTTATTGGTAGAAGCAGAAAAACACATGCACGTGCGCACACACACACACACTTTACTGTGTGAAGATGTGCCATTACCATGGTCTTCACCGTTCTTGAGGAGAAAATGAGTGTTGAGGGAGAAACAGATGCTTTCTATTAAGACAAGTTCTACATGGGCTGAGTTTAAGGCAAAGAGTGTGGCTGAATATGGAAATCAAAGCCAATGCATCGGAGCATATTTTTCTTTCAAAATATTTTATGTACCAAAGTTTGCACAACATCTTGGCAATGACAGCAAGTCTGCGTAAGGAGGTGTTTTGTGTTTCACAACTCACATAAGGGCAAAAAAATGTGGCAGCAGCCAAATATTACTTAATTGTGAATTGAAAGAATGTATATAGTGGTGTGCATGGTAAGGCTCATGGGGTAGAAGTTATGAGGTTTAAACATCTTCTAAAAAAATTCCAAAAGGGAGACATAGTGACATTTTCTTGGCAGGCAGATCTTTTATAAAACTTGGAGGAGAGTGGTTTTCCAGAATTCTCTGACAATTATTTTGGTGAAGTTCACCAATTCTGCCAGCATTGAGCATTCTGTCCAACTCTTTTCTTTCTCTTCATTTTTTTCCCTTTCTAAATACTTTTTTTTAGTCCCCAGAAAACAGAAATGTGCCTAGCACATAGTAGGCAGTAAAATTTGTCAACTACATTAATGAGTGAGTGGATGCCTGGGTGATTAGAATAGGCATCAGGAGATGTGAGTTTTAATCCTAAAATACCAATAGGTATTATACCATATAATGGAAGTTATCAGGCATTTCTTTTTACTGTCATAATTTCAGGTGAGTATGTATGAGGTTGTGAGTGTATCTTATCTTCCAAGATAAATGGTAAGCTGGCAATCTCAAACTCAGATGCCTACATGGGCCAAGCCAGTAACAGAAATGAGGAAAATGGGTGGATAATACAGGGTATGACAGTGGCCAACTGGGTCCAACCTATGTTTAAAACATCATGGGGCCAAACACACCATATCTGCAGGCTAGTTATGCTTACAGCATAGGTTCTTTCATAAAGATAATTACATCTAAATCATCTCTGTAATATACATAATCATACAATAAAAAAGTGAAAATGTTAATATTTGCCTTTTATCTCTTGTAATCTCACACAGCCCAGTGGGGAATGAGAGCTGAGTTTTATTGCTCCCATATATCCAGTGTTTCTTAAGGTGCATTCTCTTGACCAATGAGCATCAGAATCCTCTGGGCAGGTACTCCCACCTACAGTCTCAGAATCTCTGGAGCATCTGCATTATACCCTGCTGCCCAGATAATTGTCATCAAAGTGTGAGGCTCTTTGACTTAGTGCTTATATCACATAATCTTAAATTCGATTCAGTATTTTCTTTTATCTTTGCATATAAGCATTTTCTCCCTTAATTAGATGGTAAGTTCTCCAGAGTGAGGGAACATGTTTTCTAGTCTTCTTATAAACCTAATAGTGTCTGGATCAATCCGAGACACTTCATTTGGGAAATGATGAGAGTTACTGATAAGATTTAGCTTTCTGACCTACAGAGTCCTGATCTGTCAATGCCTAAATATTGGTAAAGACTCGGGATTAGAATGAGAGTTCATCAATACCCAATTATTATTTAATGTACAATGTGAGTTTTAATCAGAGCATTCTCATTGTCAGTTGATTGATTGCTGTTTTACTGGTTAATGAACTGAGATTCCCGACTTACTGACTGGGGAGCAAAATTAACAAGTCCCTAAAAAGTGAAGTTCTTTTCAAGTTTCAGAGTGTTTGTAAAACAGAAATTCACAAGCTTTCCAGCCTTCATATCACAGAAAATTGGGAAAGGCCTCTCCTGTCCAAAATTCAACTTTTAAAAACATGAATTGAAACAATTTTTGTATTAGGCTCAGCAATGATATGTGCTAATTTTAGGAAAAAGGACTGATTCGTTATTCCATGATGTGTTTGTTCCTGAGCAATGAGAGGTTTGCTATATGTTTTTATGGTAGTTTTTTGTTTGTTTGTTTTTTCCTGAGGTCCCATAATCACTGTCTGAAATGTGGAGGTTATCAGGGGTGGATTATCCAATAGGCAAAGTAAGCACAGGCTTACTTGTGCTTACTTCCTAATCTGTAGTGAACAATTTCATATGGGTTTGTGAAAATGTTCACTACAGATTAGGAAGTAAGCACAAGTAAGCCCATGCTTACCTCACTCAGTGGATAATCCATCCCTGTCAGGGTCTGTAAATTTGAAAAGAGGTCTTGATTTTGTAGGAAGGTACTATGGGGTTGGGAGAGAGACAGATGCCAGCCATACCTAGAAGCAGAATCTTTGATGTGGTGAAAAAATGTGAAATTGTTCACTACAGATGATCTGGTAAGCAACGTAAGCACCATGCTTACCTTGCCTATTGGATAATCTGCCCTGGGAGTTTCATCATCAGCATCTTATGGGAGTTTTTCCAATGCCCTAATGTCATTAACAGAAACCCTGGTGGCATAGTGGTTAAGAGCTAAGGCTGCTAAACAATATGTTGGCAGTTCAAATCCACCAGCCACTCCTTGGAAACCCTATGGGGCAGTTCTATTCTGTCCTATAGGGTCTCTATGAGTCAAAATTGACTCAATGGCAAAGCGTTTTTAATGTCATTAATGTGGCTGCTTTGGATGCTGTGAGTTGCAATTATTTCTTCGACATTGAAAAAGCAGTTCCAAAAGAAAGGGCTACATAAACCAGAGACTTCATCAGCCTGAGACCAGAAGAACTAGATGGTGCCTGGCTACCACCAATGACCGCCCTGACAGGGAACACAACAGAGAGTC